ATCCCAGATGCCTGGTAAGGGGTGGGGGTAGGGAGTGATTGAGAAAGAATGTGTTTGGGGCTTCAGAAAAGAATGCAGAGTCCTGGGAACAGAGAGCCACAGGTACAGATGGGAGAATTTGATGACTCTCCAACTGTTTCAGTCTTTTTCCTGACAAAAATCTGGTACAGAGGGACTGTGCTGATATCTTGCCCACTTATTAGGGGCCAAGCTCTCACACAGCTGTAAGGTCCGCTGGAGGATGGCCCTGCCCCTGGCTCTGTCTTATCCTGACACTGACATTTGTTCAATGCCCCAAGGTGCATGCCTCCCTCCATTCATATCTATGTCTATATATATCTACATATCTGTAGCCTCAGCCATATCCATATCTCCATACACAGTAAATGCAGGTACTTCATATTGCCTTATTCATTTAACAAATTTGTTGAGCCCTGCAGAGAACATTGCTGGGAGCCTCCCCAGTATCAAACCCCTTCCTCAGGATGGGCACCCAGTGGCCTAATTTAACCAATACAATCCCCAAGTAATTGATTTGGGACTGGGCACTTGTCCACATATAAACCCAACAATGCTTTGGCATTGCCTGACCAAAGTGATTGTTTCACAGGTGGGCACGTAACCTGAACTGGGCATATAACCTGAATTAATTCAAAGTAAAATCCAGGGGGTTTACTCAGTGGTTGGTAACTGTCTGTGGTGTACTGATTGAAGCCCTGGAATAGCTGCAGCCATTTTGTTATCATGGTGATGGGGGTGGGGGAAGGCAGCCTGAGGACTTTGTCAACATATTGAGAAGGACATGCAGAGAGGATCATAGAGAAATGGAGCGGGAACCCTAATTAAACTGTGCCAGTGGACTAGCCCCATCTCTGGCCTTTTCCCTTGTATAAGCCAGTTTGAACTGCATTTTCTGTTACTTGCAGTTGACTAAAACAAGTGCTAAGCACTGGAGATTCTGTGAACAAGACAGTGCCTACCCTCCTAAACTTACATTTCAGTGGAGGGAGGTAGATAAACAAATAAACATGATAATTTCATCCAATGTTACATATTGTGAGACATTAGGGACTTGCAACTTTCGATTAGGTGGTCAGGGGAGCCCCTCTGGGGAGGTGACATAAGACTTGTGACCAAAAGGGTGAAAAAAAGCCAGCCCTGGAAAGATCTGGGGGAAGGGCACTAGGCAGAGGGAACAGCCAATGCAAAGCTTTGAAGTAGGAGTGAAGATGGGAGGTTTAATGAAGTTTAAGTGGCCCCACTTGCAGGCTGTGTATGAAATCTGGATCTTACTCTGAGTAAGACTGGCAGCTATTTGGAGGATTTTGAGCAGAGGTATGGCATTCCTGATCTAATTTTTTAGAGAATTTATTGGAGTGACATTGGTTAATAAAATTATATAGGTTTCAGGTGCACAATTCTATAATACATTATCTGTATATTTTATTGTGTTCACCACCCGTCATCTCATTCCATCACCATTTATCCCCTCTTTACCTTCTACCTTCCCCAACCCCTCCCCTTTTCCTCAGGTAATCATCATACCACTACGTCCGAGTTGTTTTTTTGCTTAATCCCTTCACCTTTTTCACCCAGCCCCTCAGCTGCCTTCCCTCTATCAGCTGTCAGTCTGTTGTGTATGAGGGTTTCTATTTTGTTAATTATGACCTACTATTTGTAAAGGCATCTTCAAGCTGCTTGGTGGTGAAATGACTATAGGAGCAAGAAGAGCAGCAAAGAGCAGTCAGAGGCACCAGGCAAGGAATGAAGCTCATCTAGACCCATATGGTAGCAGTGAAGATGGCAAGAAGTGGACAGGTACATGGAGTATTAGAGGTATTTGAAGCCCATTCACCCCTAAATAAATTTTTCAAAAAGCCGTGGGGCAAGGAGCTGCTTTCTTTTCCCATTGCTACACACATTCTGATAGGCCCATTGCAGATGGAGTCTACCAGCCCTTCCTAAGTACCTCTCAGAGACCCCCACCAGTTTGAACACTCTGATCTACATTTACCACATAAAAGCATGCCCTTGACTCTGTTCATATTCTATCCTATATAATAAAAGCATAGTATGCAAATTGTCCCCTCAACCGGGAGTTCGACCAGGAGGCGGGACAGGCTGGGGGAAGTACCCAGCCAGCCGGCAGCCGCTAAGGACCCCACCAGTGTACAAATTTCGTGCACTGGGTCTCCAGTATGGTATAAACAGAGAGGCAAACAAATGTTATGAAAACGAGTTTAATAAAGTTACTATTAATTGAATCAGGACACATCAAAGTGGCATTACAAACACCTTTTTAATGACAACAGATGGCAAATTTATACAAATTACAGGCTAGAACGTAATGAATACAAAATCCATCCAGATACCGTGTAAAAAAGCATTATATAATAGAAGCAAATCTGATTCAAGTGGCTAAAGAACTCAAGCCCCGCATTTTGATAATTGCACACAGCTTTCAACGTTAGCACATCTAAAGCCTGCCCCTGGTCAGGGCACTATTCAAGACTACAGCATATTCAATGACTCTAATGATTTAAAGATTCTAACACTTTTAAGCATTGATGTCTAGAGACACCAGGTAAAAGGTTCACTATGCAAAACTCAAAACAAGAATATGTGAACGTTCTTTGCAAACTGTAAGGTGCTGTGCAGATGTTGTTAGCTATTGCTATTATTACTGTTCAGTGAGATTTCACTAAACCTGAGAAAAAGGAAGACTAGTCTGTGTAACTGACAAATATGACTTGTACAACATATTAAAAGGAACACAGATATTACCTTTAAGTACACAAAGCAACAAAACTGGCAAGAAAAGTGTGGCCAGGAATGATGGTAACTTTAGGAATTCCAGACTATTTTAATAAATATATAAGGGTTTAAGCTATTCATAGGTTACAAGTAATATTTATCATTAGGTTCCCCAAGTCCCTGAAAATAAGTTATTTTCTCAGGTGACCCTTTCCCCTTGAAAAAAAAAAAGAAAGAAAAATATTGTCAAGTTATTAATATGCTTTTTCAGTCCAGCTCTTGTAAAATTTATCTTAAATATGAGTTGAGTCTGAATTAATAAAGTTATACTTCTCTGGTGGAGGATGCAGAGTGCTTGATGGCAGAGAAATCCACTGCTGACCTAAGAAAAGTGACAAAGTCGGCACCATAGCTGAATCATTTATAAAAGGGGCCTAACAACACTCTACAACTTCACTGGAGCATGAAGCAATAAACATGAACTGGTCTGGAGATAAGAAATACACACTAGATATGGTTGAAACAAGATTTCAATCCTGTGTTTCATGTACCTTCAGCTTCCATTTTTCCTTGGGCACTCCTTATTTAACTGTTTTTTACTGGTCTCCTTGGGTACTCTAGATATATACATACACTTATTTGAAAATGGAAAATAAACATCAAACAAGTCAATCAGTTGTCTCCTTTGGCAAAGCTGATGAGATTTTTATGGTTAAAACAGTCCAATTATTACAATGCATTTCAGTTGGATTCCCAGGAAACACAGGTGGGGTTTTTTTAATGAAAGGTTTAAATTTCCTCAGTAACAACTCAAAACTGAACTTTGCTGCTACATGTAAAATGATATCCACTTGACATCAGATGCATTCTACAGCAGACTTTTCAGTTTTTAGCACAATGAGGAAACGAGATTATATTCTGGGGGGGAGGGGAGGCAAAATGGAGGTGAGGTGAGAAAGGTAATGTGTTACAGTAAATGGGGTTAAATCAGTAGCTTGTACTGACATTCAAGTTACACTTCCTAATTGAGGTTATTCTTATAATTAATTTTCAAACAATAGTGAACATATTCCTATCTTAAAACATTTATAAGGGCTCAATTGTAGCTTTCCTTTTTATACATCCTGAAGTATGTACACTGTGCAACAGAAAACCAGTGAAAAATAAATCTATATGTCAAATACCATGTTATTTTAACAGCAGCACACTAACGAGATACAGTTGAAACCCCAGGAAAAAATTAAAACTGGTTTGAAAACAAGTCTATACTATAATAATAATCCTAAATATTAACACTAGCATCAAAGTCTAAATTTCAAACACTTGGTACTTTTTCCAAGAGGAAATTACAACTGCTTGAATCCCTGGTTTAAATACTTGCAGAAAAATACCCATATAATTATCTACTCAGCAAATGTCTGAAATAAAACAAAATAATCCAACATTGGACATTAATATTTTACAAACAGCAAAATATCCCAAAAGTACAAGAAAAACATTGGCATTATAGAAAAAGAAATTAAGCGGACAACAATTCTAAGTGCAACATGGCATCTAAAAGTGGGGACCATCTAGAAATCTACCACATAATACCCCAGACTCAAACAGGGGGCATTCTACAATTTTATATTAAAATTGTTCAATTTTATACTAAAACTGTAGTCTTTTTTTTAAGAAAGCACTTTACATTTAGAATAACTGCTTATAGAAGACATTTAAACTATAGACAATATTTAACTCTAAGCAAGAATACAATTCTGCATTAAAAATAGGGGTGAACAAACAAATTGGTAATGGCAAACACAGCAAGAGCCACTGTATTAGAAATTAACAATAACAGGAAATTTGAACAATGATATACCTACTTGAGACACCTACCTGAAAGAATAAAGGTACAATGTAGTTTTTTTTGTTTTATTTGTTTTTTAGAAAATGGCCACTAATCACTCATAAAAAAATGCAAATAGCTGTCAGGAAAAGTTGGCGGAATTTGAACTTAATCTAAACTTTTAGTGAGTATCGAACTAGCATTAAAAAATGCATACAAGATGTAAACCAAAGTAGTGGTTATCTTCAGGTGGCAAAATAACAGGGTACTTAAATTTTCTTCCTGTTTTTATATGCATTTTCTGGGTTTGTTTTCAGATTGCATACAAGTAGTACCAAGTGGCTAGAAAGAACCACACACTAAAGATACTAAAATAAAAACACAGGTCTTTTTCTATAGAAAGGGACTTTTTTTTATTGACTCTGATTGAAAAGACTAGACTAGAAATCCCAAGAATACCTCCTGGGTGATAAAAACAATCTATTTTCAGAATTGTTCACATTCCCTAAGTATGCAAAAATAAACATTTAAATGTAAATTCCTATCATATACAGTATTAAAAAACAGTAGGAAAAACAAATTTAAAGGCAATTTACACAAACCTGGTAATTAAAGTAAAACTTCATTGTTGAACAAGAGCAAAAAAGCTTATTAAAGAGTTGGTCTGAAAGCACAGGCAGGCCTGCAAGGAGGCAGCTAGCTCTGCTTTGCTCTCAAGATCCTTCAATAAACCAGTTCGTGTAAAATGGGTGGAATTCAGCCTAGTTTCCCCATGAAATAATGTAACCAAAGGTTCCTATTGACTAGGGATTACACTTTCTTTGAAATTTCTCAGTGACATTCAGAGTAATTCCAGCATTAACAATTTAAGCAATTTTCCATAGGAATTTACAACGCAAAATCCAATGACCTGGTACTTTCATGATAGTTAGGGGAAGTACTTCAACAAAATATAAAGTTTAGATTTGCTTCACTGTGTACCTTATTAATATATCCAGAAAAGTAACATTCAAAACCAACTACAAGAAAAAATGCTATAAAACATTTTTGTTGTAAAATAATCAAATTCTTCCCAGAATAATGTGTAATTAAACATAATTATTTGCCACCAATTTAATTTTTCCAAATTTTCATTTGCAAATGAGAGGCTTATAGTTAAAATAGATGATGCAAACCACTGTATCAGAAAGATCAAAATTTACACTAGTCAAATGTGACTCCTTAAGATGGATTTTAACATGTTCTTTCACCATTATTGAAATAATTAGTATCCTGGATGCATTTGCCATTTTTTAAACAATTTAACACTATCAAAAGGTGATGTTCACTTTAATCCTGTTTGCCTTCACGCCACTGTCGTGAACCTTCATTCCAGGCCACATAGACAAAGAGGGCCAGCACCACGTGGACAGCAACCACGGCAACAATAGCAGCATAAAAATAGCTATCCCTATTGGACATCCCAAAGGCACCTATCAAGAGATAAAAGTTTTCATTTTATTCCAAAATTTATCACAGTACAAAAAAACAAAGCATACTAATTTTATTAGCTATACTAGTATTTAATTAATCAGGGAATTAAAAAGTAACACTTTGGGTGGTGATAAAACAAGTATTCATTTAAAGATTTAAATACCTTCTTATACACGAAAAAGTATTTTGAACAAGAACTGCAATTATCACTTCATCTAAGGGCTCTGACACAAAAATGGGGACTTCATTTCCTCTTCCTTCCAATGTCTGCCACCAAAGGTACATTCCCCCAAAATCCCTCCTCCCATGTCAGCCAACTTTTACTCTCAAAGGGATATTAAAAGAATCTGCAAGCTATTTCATAGAAAACCATAAACGATTATGATGTCAAGCTGAAACAACTATGAGTGATGAAAATATGCATTTCATGAAGTAGGACTCATTCAGAGCAACATTATATTTGAAAAGCAAAACAGATGAAAGAAGCAAACTTAAGAACACCTGGTCATAAAGCACAGAACATTAATTATAGTAATATGTCTATAAAAATATGATTACCTTCAAAAACATAAGATTTAGTGGTGAAATATAACCCAATAGGTACAGTGATCATTAAAGCTGTGAAGAACAGCAGAGTCTTCAGGGTAGATGCTAATGAACTCTCATTTCTGGAATAAAGTAAACAAAGAGAAATCAGAACCTGCACAGCCACTTCCAACCCTTCTTGTGTCTATAAACACTAGAAATACTCACAGAGAAGACTCTGGAAACCCTGCTCCTGCCTCGGAAGCAGTGGCCAGAGGAAGAGGAGCAGTCAGGGACTCAAAACAAAGATCTTAGAGACCCAGCTGCAGGCCCATCTCCAAGAGACTGTCATTCATATCCAGTGTAAGAGGAAGTATCAAAGTGTGAAAGTACTTTGTAATCTCCAAAGTGCTATGCAAATGTACACTGTAATTACAGAATTTTGGAGGTAGCAAGGGAGAACATACACAGAAAACAACTAATGGCTAGTACAAACAAGGTATGAGAATCTCCAAAGAAAAAGCAGTCTAGAACAATCTGGATGCAACTGAGGAAATTCACTCAAAATTTCTTTGTAATTAAATAACTATAGTACAGTTTAGATGGTCTTCACATAACATGGATGCATTAAAAGTTTGAATGTCAAAACACTTTCTCATCACTGAATTCTATTTGTCCACAGATTATTTTAAAACCAAGGAAATATTCTAATGGAAAAAGTTTTGTTCCAGAATAAAATAAAACTACTAATAGAGCACAAACAAAACTGGATAACATAGAAATGTCCAATAATAGGAAAATGATTTCACAAATGATGTACATCAATATATGGAGACCTTAAAAAAAGAACTTTTACTATTATTCACAAAATTTTCATGTGACAAATGAACAAGGCAAATTACAGTGTATTATGTATGTATGCAAAATAAGGCCTGAGGGTCCACCACTTATTTCTGTAAATAAAGCTTAATTTGGACACGGATACACCCATTTGTTTATGTATCATCTAAGACTGCTTTGGAGCTGCAAAGGCAGAACTGAGTGGTAGACCGTAAGGCCCTCAAAACCCTAAAATATTAACTATCTGGCCCTTTACAAAAAAAGTTTGCCAAGCCCTGATGCTGTTTTACTGACCTTTTAATGTCGGCATTTGTCCTATGCATTACAAATGAGCAAAACTATTGAAAGTGAGCTGCAGTAAGCTTCTAGCAACCCTGAACACATACACACCACCTGATTAATTAGAAAAGTTCAACCCTATAGCTTTAATCATTAGTTTAATTAAGGTCTTTTTTTCTCCTTAAATCTAACCATCCTCAGACTACTTAACACACTTCTAACTTTATGCTCATAGTCAATACCTAAATTTAATTATCTTTCTAGTAATCCTCAGCTAGAGGCTCATTTTTATGTGTACCTTTAGGAAAGACATAGTCCAACCTTCAAGGTCCCCCAAAATAGTCTCCCCTCCAAGCACCTTTCCTGATTACACCCTGGAGTCATTGCTCTGGGATCCAATCACACTTTGTTCATACCTCATATGACAGTTTGCTTCCTATATAGTCCTGCACATCTCTCTGTATAACTAGAAAACCCAGGCAAAGGCATTCTTAAAACTGAATATACAATTAACAGGAAGGTTTCTGACAGCCCCAAAAGGAAGGGAACATCACAAGTTTATTACAAACTTTTTGACTGTGCAATCCATCATTAAATAAAAGTTATGAGCGCATACCCCATATAGGCATTTTGATGTTTTAAATAAATTTTTTATACACATATTAACAGTCTTTAAAATATAAAACATATGCAAAATGGATACTAAAAAGATATTAAGATTTATGTAGAAGTTCTAATATTTTCTTTCCATACTTTAATAGATCATCTTTAAACATTTAATTTAGCATTTAACACTTTGGTGATCACTATACAATTCTCATCTAAAATGCATGAGCTTCCTTAAACTGTTTCCTAGTAGTAAATTTTTAGAGGAATTTATTGTGTAATCTTCATGAAGAATATGAGTGTCTGCAGTAGTTCTATGAAAACACAGTCAGCATTTGGCCTCTTTCGTAGAGCCTCCAAAAAAACTTGACTTTCAGGGTGTTTCTATCGTGTGTTAAAGTATGGGTTTTAGGGATGTAAAGTTCAGATTATTTAACCTGATAAAGAAACAAAGCTTAAGAATCTAGAGAAAGGGCCGATTAACTGGTTCTCTTGTTCTTTAGATTACTTCCCTTAAATATCTATTATCTGGCCTGGCTTTGAGAAAAGGTTATTATTGAAAAGAAGATATAATACCATAAAAATGTTTTAAAGCAAACAAAATCACTTCTAATTCTACCACCCATCTTTTATTTTCTGCATGCTAATTTCTAGCCCCACACACTCCACATATAACATATCTTAAAAATTTGTAGTTTATTGTCAACTCATTTCTCTTTACCTTAAGCTCCAAAAATTTGACTCTTATTCTGGGTTGCCACCTCACAAATATGGGACTAAGTATAAAGTAAGGCATACAAACTTTTGAAAACTAGCAAACTTCCTCTAGTGTTTAGAGGACATTTTCTCCCTGGCTTCCAGCCACAGCCCACTGAAGCTGGTGGTTCTGCTAGCACAAGCCAGCTTGGGTACAACCAATGATTTATTCTAAAACAAAGCAACTGATGGCATTCAACTGATTTCTCCTATGTGTCTTTGACTGGGTGTTACTGACTTGTTAGAAAGGAACAATGTGTAAGTCCAGAATTAAAGTTGGTCTCACACAAAAGAAATAATTCGGGGTGAACCTTATTGTGCCCCACTTTTAAAACCACTTAAGAGTTTACCCCCTTCATACAAACTTCTGCAGCAAACACTAAGCAGATAACAGAGCTTACAACGTCCTCTTTTGTGGCAAGCAAGACTTCTACTAATAGATTTCACTGCAAATTCCATTAGGAAACACGGAAACCAGCCTAGGAGGGCTAAAGTATATTTTAAGTGTACTTAATGAAAATATCTGTTCGTATCCTTACTAATAAACAGTAATAAAAACGAAAACCTAACCAACACTATATTGACATTGTGAGAGGGGGGGGAAAGCGCACAAGCTCCAAAAATAATGAAATTTAACGTCACAGTGAGCTAGGTCGAATGCCAGCTTCTACACTTAACTGTGTGGCCTAACTGTGATATTGGGCAAGTCATTTACCCTGAGTCAACTTCATCTTCCTTAAAATCAGGAAAACTAAGTACTTTCTTAATTCTGATGATGTTTGTAATAAAGCACCTATGTTGAGCTTGGCACACTGTAGGTCAGCACTGAATGGTAGCTAAATCCCTTCCCAACCTATTGCCTACCAAGGTACAGAGGTATTGTTGGCTGAGCTAGTTGGCCAGAACCACCTGCTCCCTTAAACTCCTTCTGCTCAGCCACCATCCCCCATCCTACTGACTCCCTACCAGAAGCAGTCTCACACCAGGGACAGCCCTTACTCCCTTCCATTCATTTATGCAGCACTTATTAAACCCCGTTGGTGCAGGCCCTGTAGGGGACACGGAGATGAAGAAGGCCGGGCTCCTGTCCTCAGGGGGCACTCTGTAGTGGGGAAAGAAATTGCAGACAGCAAGATCGCAATATAGACGACAGTGAGAGGAAGTGCTAAGACAGAAGTAAGAGCTGTACGCCCGCCGGCCTATATCGTCCCATGACCCCGGTTCCCTTGTTCCCGAGCGAAGAGCCGGGGCCAGGCGTGCAAACGCTGCTGGCCCCAACCTCCTTCCCCGCTCCCCGACCCTACAGCCGGGCCCCGAGGGTCCAGACCTCACACCCACCACAGGCCGGCCCGTTCGGCTCCTGCCTTCCCTCT